TTTAACGGCAGCGGGGCCCGCGCCGGCCTGGCCCCGCCCCCTGCGCGCGCAGTGAGGCCCCGCCCCGTCCCTCGCTGAGGGGCCCCGCGGGGACCCCCCGGGCGGTTAAATTCGGTGTCGGTAGCGTCTCTGTCGTGATTTTGCGATTTAGTTTGGCGTATTGTAAAAGATGAAATGTGAAACGGAACGCTGTAAAAGCCTTTGCGAAGCTGAAGTCTCGGTGTACGCTGGCGGCTCGGAGGTGCCTGTCAGACCTCGAGTCCCAGAGCTGCTCTCGTGAAGAGCCAGAGCATTTAAGGGTTGATTTTTCAGCTTTTGGACAACTCTTTGCAAATACAAAATTCAAAATAGAAATGTGGAAGATGTATGAAGTGATTCAATGAGTCCCAGGTTCAGTGATCACTTTAGATCAGTGCTTTCATTTGTCCTGGCACATCTTTGGACAGTTCTGGTAATGGTTTTTATGCTCTGGAGTGTTCCTAGATGGCTGATTTTTATTAAATGAACGCCTATAAGGCTTAATGGAGACAAGAACATCACTGTTACATGTGGTCACATAAAGAGAGCTTTTCTTCCTTAGCTGTCTTGGAGTCTAATTAATGAACTGGCCACAAACCATGGTCTGTTTTATTCACAGAAGAGATTAGAAGGGAATGAAAAGTGAGGGGTTGGCTCTGCTAAACTGGTGCTCAGTTCTACAAAGTGATTATTTACTTGGTAAAATTGTGTGGTGTTTCAGTGGTCTGTGTGAGCTGGAGAGGTTTCACCCACAGCTGGTTGCTGACCAAGTTTGTTAGCTTATACACAGGGAGGTGCAGCTATCGAGGAATTAGCAGGTAGAAATTATGTTGATAGGTCTACTGGAAATAATAGCTCTTGTCATTCATTTAAGTGGCACCACGTGTCAGAAACTGCAGATGACTTTCACTGCCATAGTGAGTTATTTTGATGATGCTATTCTAAAAATAAGTTAATGAGTGTTCTTGCTTTTCTAGACAGTCTTTGTATGGGGAGCTGTGGTGTTTAACTCCTGATTGATAGGATGTTGTTAACAAATCATCATTTGTCTAAGTTCCTGAAATACTCTTTTTGGCAAATATCTTTTTTTTCAGAGCTGTTGTAGGGAGACTTATTTTTCTGGATGCGTACACCAGGGTCAGAATTTGATCTGTAACACCTTATAGCGCAGATTCGCTTTTCTACAGAGTTCTCGGGAAGAAACAAGAAGATGAGGGTAAATGTTCTGAAGGCCTGTGGCAAATCATTCTACCTTGTGTAAAGGTGTTGCAGTTTTTTGCTTCACCCAGTTCTATGTTCCACTTAGAGTGAAGGATGAAACTGTTACAGAATAATTTATTTGGAGGAGAGCATCGAATGTAACTGAATAAAATATTGCTCTATACTTTGATTAGGTTTCTTTTTACAAACCTCAAATGCCCAAGTAGCAAAATCAAATTGAGCTGGTAAACTGATATAAACGTGATGCTTCTTTGATATGAGTTTGCAAGTCTTGCTACAACAGTTGTCACCTTCTTTGGGTCTTCCCTGGGTTCTTCCAGGACATGTGAAACTGGTCAGCTAAAAACTAATGTTCCTTAAATCGTTTTTCTTGTATCGCAGTGTGATCTGCTCTGAGTTAATTGTGGTTTTGAAAAGGTGTAAGCTAAATGGAAGCCTGAAATAGTGTTCATTATTAAAATACTCTCCACCCTTTCCCTTTGTTTACAGGAGCAGCAGGGAATTATGGACAATTCTTCTGGGCAGATCAGCTTTAAGAGAACCAGTAAGTCTGTATCACACTAAGCAGGTTTGCCCATCACTGAATGGACTCCATGGCCATATATATAATTCGTGTGTCTGAGTATTAGTGAGAATATGTTTTGCTGCTTTTCCCTCTTCCTCGTTGCGACTTTTGTTCCTCTGTCTCAACTACTTGTTCATTCTTCCACTCCTTGTTTATAGCTGCTTCATGAACTACCTGGTTCTCTGTCTGGAGTGGACACAAGTGCTACTTTCTAGACTGGCTGGCCTGGGGTATTCATGAGTGGTACAGCCTGCTTCCTTATTTTCAGGGATGGAGCCTGTGCTTTCAGGAATTTGCCCAGAGGTTGGAAATCCAAACGTTTCTGAATCCAGTCCATTGCCTCCTATTTCCTCTCCCTTCCTGTGATTAGGCAAGGCAGTGAGCTGTCTCATACAGTAATATGCCTTCAATCAGTCTGAATCATAGATGCTTGTCTTCTGTTGTTCCTGTCTCTTTGTGGTGGTGGAATTTCTTTGCTTTGCTTAAATTTAACAGATCTGATAGGCGGCACCGTACGTTGGGGAATCTGTTCAATAGTATTTGGTTCTTCTTTTAGGCACAGATTGCGGCAGAACTGAACAAACACTGGCAGAGATTGTTAGAGGGACTTTCATATTATAAACCGCCAAGGTATAGTAATTGCCTGATTTGTGGAAATTAAGCTCTAAAATGAGGTCTCCTGATAAGTAAGGGAGCATGTTGAATATTTCTCTCTGATTAAAAATAGATTTTTACTCTCTTGCATGACTTGAGACATCAGGAGAGAAGTACCAAGAGAAAGTACTTAATCCACATAACATTTCTGGGCATGAAATACAGACCAGAAAGAAGTAACAGCAGTTTCTGCTGTCGTTACTAATGTTAGGTAGCTCTTAACGCTTGCCTCTGCTGAGCTGCAGCGGTCGTGTGCAAGTGGACAGCCTGTGGAGAGGTGACTCCTCTCAGTCACCCCAGAAAGATATCGAGGTTCCCCCACTGGGAAAAGTGGAAATGGATATAGCCAGCATTTATTATAGTATTTCTGGTTACAGAATATTGTATGAAACATTGAAAGGCCATGGAGGAAAAAGCAAATGGTCACTTTAAACTGGTAAAACTTAACACCTTTGAAATTAAGCCTGTTTAGTTAATTCCTTGGGATTGCTGCATTTTTAATGACTAAAATTTCTTTTTTTCTTTAGTACAACTTCAGCAGAAAAAATAAAAGCTGATAAAGATGTATCTGCTCCACTGAAAGAGTTGGGTCTGAGGGTCAGCAAGTTTTTGGTGAGTGAAGGTGCTATATGATTATTTTTTACCCCTGCACTTGGAATGCATTGTTATATTTAAGTAAGCATCTTCATATTGAATAGAAGCAAACTTAAGTGCCTTTCCATTCAAAGTAATCTAAAGGATGTTAGAGGTACATGGTGAGGCTGTAGGTCAAAGTTTTCAAAAGTGATTAGTGACCTCGAGGTGTTCTGATTTTTCTGATTAACATCCCTTTCTGCTGGAAAGAGCCCTGCTTTTCAGAAGCAGTCACCCACTTTTGGTCTTTCTTGGGT